AACTGTACACAGCCAGGTATTGGCCAGGTATTCTAGAAGAGGGCACTAACAGTACCGGCCAGGTATTGGCCAGGTATTCTAGAAGAGGGCACTAATTGTACCGGCCAGGTATTGGCCAGGTATTCTAGAAGAGAGCACTAACTGTACCAGCCAGGTATAGACCAGGTATTCTAGAAGAAGGCACTAACCGTAGAGCCTTTCGAGGTGTGCAGGCTGCTTCTTGTATTCTTCCTGTAGGTGGTCAGCTTCCTCTAGGATACAGCGGTACTCTGGTATCAGGAAGTTTGTGTTTCCTTCATGAACTTGCAATTCCTTATTTAAAATCAAAAACAGAAGCACCTTGGTGTTCAAATTCAGCCAACAGGACACTGAAGTGTTTCTGACTCCAGAAATCCTACTTTTAAAACAGTGGCACAACACACGTACCTTCAGAGCATCGATCAGCTGCACCTTCTTGGCCAGGAGGAGCTGGTATTCCAGCTTTGGGTGGATCAGCATTAAAGTGTGTCTGACGGATACTTCATTTATCTCTGCAAGAAGTTGCCAGGCACAATCAGGTAAGTTATTTTCATCAGAAACATTATCATTGTAAGACAACTACACAAAATCAGAAAGATTTTTTTTTTTTTACCGTATGATATGTTGAGGTTAATTTTCCTTTTTGTAGCTTCTTTAGAAAGCACATCTTTTAGGATGGATATTGTAGAAATGTTGTCAGATTTAAAAACTCCTTCTCCTTTTCTATAAAATTAATACATTTTTAAAAGACAAGCTGTAGAAGAGGGCTGGGGACGTAGCTCAGGGGTGGGGTGCTGCCTTAGTATGTGCAATCACCAGTACCACAAAAAAAGAAAGAAGAAAGCTGCACACGGGAATAGCTTTGTCAATACACATCCACACACATCCCGTGACTAGTAGTTAACTGTTTACATTCTATCTGATTTTAGGTGTCTTGACAGTGTTAATATAAAGCATACCCACACATGGAATCATGCTCTCTCTGTTGAGTCAGCTCTGAACACACTCATAAAGCTAAGCATGCTGGACATACGCCTCTTTAAGATACAATGTATCTAAGCACTTCATTTAAAACTACTTTTGTTCTGTGTCATCAGCACTTCCAACAGCTGCCTCATATTTAAAATGCACTTAGAATCGCCTACTTACATACACAGGCAACTGTTTTCTTTGATGTAATCACACAAATGACAACATGACTATATGCTTCATCCTTAAAAGAAATCTGACATCAAACCTGCAAGAGTCACTCTGCTGTTTACCCAGGCCCGGCATCCACCGCCCTGCTCGCCACGGGACCCTCAGTTTCCTCTCAGAAACTTGTGCCGTCTCTTGCCCCCTCCACACAATTTCAGTGGCTCTGCCTCCATCTGCTTCTGAGGTGCCAGGAGGAAGCACCTGGCAACACGGCCCACGCCCCACCAAAGGGTTCAAGACTGTACGACGACACTCCAGCCCGGAAGTGTGGTCACTGGCACTGGTGGGAGGCAGTGGCCAAGCAGACTGAAGGATGGACAAGGGTCACATCTTGATGGCATCACCTAAGCCACGGGTCAAGCTGTGCCCAAGACAGTTACTGGAGACTTTTGCATTTGGTCCCTCACTGTGATGACCAGAGCTTGCTAATGAATACATGCCATCTTTCACATATCTCATGAGGTCTCCTCCTCTGGCCTTCGTCCACATAGATCATCCGTACAGACTACTTGTAGGCAAATGCAATTTGTTTTTTCCAGAAAGATGAACAATACACCTTTACATTCTGATCCCAACTGTGCTATAGAAATCACAGGCACTCCCACCTGTCTCCCAGCCCAACAGGGGATGAATGTAAATCCCCAGTGCCAGGCACCGAGGAGCGACTTACGTGCTTTATCCTCTTAACTGTCATGCAATTCTATAAGGTAAGTGCTACTATTTCCATTCCCAGAAGAGAAAACTGAAACTCAGAGGGTTAATACAACAGATGAATATAGGAGCTGAACCTCATTATGCCTGCCTCCAAATCTTCTACACTACCTCCAAATACAGGCATCTTATTCAGGAACTTGAAAAACATTTATTAAGCACCTACTGTATCCAAAGCCACATGTTAGGTGCTGGGAGGCTATTAACAGAGATAATTAAAAATACCCCTGAGGATATCGTGGAACTTAGACAAGCTTACACAAAAAATACACTTCAGTTAAACAACAATACATCTTAAAGACAGGTAAGAATAAAATACTGGGGTGGGGGAGACCCTGTCCAGCATGCACTAGGCCTGGGGTCCAATTCCCAGTATCACAAAGAAAAAAAAATGCTATGGAAACAGAAAATAATCAAGGAAGTCCTCAGAAAAGTAGCTGTTGGACTGAGCCTCGAGGGTAGAGGGAGTCGGACTGTTGAGGAACGAATGTCAAACAGAGAAGGGTAGAGAGCCAAGGCAGCCCGCTCATCAGGATCCTGCATGTGTATGAGGTGAGCAGCGAGGCCACCTCCACAGGGTGGACTAGAAAGGCTGGTTCCCAGGAGAAGGGCCAGGCAGTGGCGGGGACCCCGCTCTTCAGGGCAGGGAAGAGAGAGCCCTGGCCCCCAGCCCACGAAGTGAGACCCACAAAAATGAGTGGAAGAGTGGGCACGTGAAGACTCTGGGATCAAAGGGCAGACAGGCTGGCTTCGCCCGAGAAACAGGCACACTCAGAGGCAGGAGGGGAGGCCGGAGTCCAGCCCCCCCAGTGTAGAGAAGGGTGGGGAGAAGCCCCGGAAGGGACAGGGCACAGCTGCGGCAGAGGAGCCACGAAGGCAGCAGCCCAGCAGGCCACAGCTGGCGGCCCAAAGCCAAGGCCTTTTCTGTTCCCATGGAATGAAATCCAGCTGGAATGGGATGGGAAGGACCGTTTGGCCACATCCTCCTGTGGGTGACCACAGCACACCTTCTTTCTTCATCCAAGTTCTCCGTGTGCGATCTAAAAATATCCCTGCAGGTTTCTTGTGGACATTCTGTCATCATTACTACTCCTCCTCCGAAAGAGCCTTTTAAACTATTTCTAAATGATGCTTGTTCCTGTTGGGAATTTAGAAAAGGTATTGATCTGTGCATACCCTTCTTTCCTAATCACTCTCCCAACCTCACTGACCCTATTTGCTGTCCAATAGAGTCACTTCAACGCGCATGTTTCTGATCCTGTGACTTGTAAATTACTCCTGCCTTAAAAAATAGAAACCGGACACGGCCTATGACCCCAGCAGGTGTGACGCACCTGTAGACACTCTCCAGCTGGGTGTCCAGGAAGGTGTTCTGGAAGTGAAAGGTCACGCACTCTCCTGCTGGGGGCTTCTCCGGAACCTCAGGCAGGCAGAACACCACCCAGGAGTGGACCTCAGCGAAGCTGAACTGGCCTGTCAGCGTCAGGGTATTCATGGGTCTGCAAGGTAAATGCACACAGGAGTGGCATGTCACAGCCTCACAGGCACAGGCCCAGCAGGGCCTCCAACTGTACCCCAACAAGTACCTTGAAAACACAGGTCTTCTTAACATCACACGTTACACAGACATACATTTGGATTTTAGGTCTATACCTGAACCTGTGCTGATGTTTTAATATTCAGTCAGGACATGCAAATAGCCCTTTCATTACACTAAGCTTCACCAAAAAAAAAAAAAAAAAAAAGTCTACCAGGTCAATCTCACTATTAAAAAGTTCATCTAGTGTTTCTACTATATATATAAACTGAAGACACATCTGAATCTCCCTAGGGAAAGAATCAGCCTACTATGAAGGAAGGAACTGGGCTTTCAAGTAAGACAGGCAGGGTGGGAAAGCCAGGTCTCCCTGTGTGCCACCAGGCAAGTTAGAGAACGACGCCTTCGGCCTTACAGGGATGTGGGAACATTTCCTATCATGCAACAGCACAAAAAAGTAACAAGGGTCTGAAAATTAATCACAAAGCTTAAAATAAGCCAAGTGGGAAACCACAAAGGGTGAGAAAACACAGAGCATATGGAAGGAAAAGTTCAGAAGGAACTTCACAGGATGCAGAACTAAGGAAAGGAAGAGCCAGCCAGATCTTTAAGATCATCCAAACCAGTTCTCTTGTTTGCAGATGAAAAGTCTGAAATCTAGAGAAATTCTCTTTCTGAAGCCACATGGGGACACACTGTGATCCAAGTCTCTGTCCCAGTTTGCTCTTCCTTCTAGCATACCCTGCTGCCCCCACTCGAGTTGACCTCAACTTCAAGCAGGAAGATGTCCCCAAACATCTATTTTCTTTGTTTCCCACAAGCCTTCCTTAAGAAATTTCCTTCTTATTTTATTTAAATCACTTTTTAAGTTAGAAGCTGCAATAGAAATAACTTGGAATTTGGCCTCAAATCTCAGCTCTTGCTCTTCATCAGAAGCTACAGACTTTTCCAGGCCTCCATCTCTCATCTGTAAAGTGGAGACCCGGTGCTATAAGGTAAGTGACAAGACATAAGCACACACAGACTACACGGCACTGAGAAAGCCTTCGGTGACTGTCCATCTCTTTCTCTTCTCTGTCATTCAAGATCAAGTTCTCCTGTCCTGAAAATCTACTCACAGGAAGGTGCTCTCCCTGGAAATCAGAAACAATGGGCACCATGCTCTCTGCTGTCTCTACCTGTATTCCCTGAAGCCAAGAGAAGGAAATGCAATGTGTGAGGCTAAGCAGCAGCGCCCTGCTCACACAGAGCCGCTAAATGGGATGTGTTTACAGTAGGTGTTTGAGAGAACTGTTACCCTAGTCATCTTAGGTTGGCAGGAAAGGGGTGGACAAGAAAATTCAATTCAAACAGCTTCGAAAATAAGAGCAAAAATCTTATGTTTATTAGGAATATTAAACCCATGCCTAACTATTAAACCACAAGTTAATTTTTAAATGGAGAAAAAGCTACCAGAATATACACTACAGGAACAAAATAGGGCTGGGTTGTGGCTTAGTGGTAGAGTGCTCGTGTTTCATGTGTGAGCCCTGGGTTCAGTCCTCAGCACTACATAAAAATAAATAAAATAAAGGTATTCTGTCCATCTGCAACTTAAAAATAGATTACGAAAAAAGAAAGAAAAAGCAAATTGATCTGAACAGCGTAAGTAACTGAAAAGCCGGCTGCCCCTCCTCTGCCCACCTGCTGTGGTCAATGCAGTGCGTCCTCTGATGGAGAGAGAGGGGCTTGATGTGGTACTGGCGCACCTGGCAGGTTTTGGGCTGGATTCTTGGAGTCACATAGGCTTGAAGTGTGCCATACTGGCCTTCGATGGAGCGGATCTGAGGCCCCGCAAGAGAGGAAAGAAAAAGCCACCATGAGCAGCATGACAACCTCTGTTACGTTCACCAAGTTATCAGGTTGCCTAACTCCTCTGACATTTTACTAGGCCATGACTTTCTTCCCCACGACAGGGCAGTAGAATAAAACCAACCCTGGCAGTCAGGGCAAAGTCGACCTGTGGGTTTGCCCACCACACACTCCAGCTGGCCTGTCCACTCTTCCCAGCCCTTCACCACTCCAGGACAAGACCCACACTCCCACATACAATTCTGTTGTATCTAAAAAGAGGTGTGAGCATGTTCTACAAGGTTCATAAGAAAAGTACTTAAAATCTAGACATTTTTGTTGAACAGATCAATGAGTTTTCAAAATAACTATAACTCACGGGACACAACACTTTCTCAGGAATGGGGATTATACCATACTGTTGCTGTTACAAAATCTTACTGACAGAAAGAAATCTTCCCAAAAGCCTAATTCTTGATTGTCTCTAAAAGCAGAGAAATACATATTAAACTAGCACTTGAATGAAATTCTCTCAGGCCATCGTGAACATGTTTCCCAGATGCCCCAAGAACTCAGAACTCCTAACATAAAATGACTCCCTAAGTTGTAAGGCCTGCCTGAAGAGGGGTGCTGAGGCTGACGGCTCCTGGCTCCTGCCTATTGAGAGCCACAGCCAAAGGGGCCCCAGGAAACTTCCAGCTCTCAGCAAACTTCCAGCTGCCGGCTGATGACTGGCACACAGCGGCCCCAGCAACATCTAGCTGATTGGCTCCTCTGCGGTGATGCTCTTTGGGCTGTTTCCCTGCCCTTTCAGACCACAGAGCTGCTCATTGGGGGACTTATTTGGCTCCGCCCACGCGACCCAGCCAATCGGCCTCAAGAGCAGGAGGATATTGGGAGGTGGGGAGGCTTGTGTTGGTGTGAGAGGCTTGTGGGAAGCTGGTGGTGGTAGTTGGGCTCTGAGGGTTTTTTCCTGAGGAGCTGTTTTGTTTGGCGTGTGTAGTTCTAAAAATAAAGTTAGTTTCTTTTGACAAGTGGCTCCTGAATTGTGTCCAGCCAGACTGCGGCACCTGCCCCAGCTTCCCGTCCCGACTCAGGGCAGACCACAGGTCTTGCTGGTCCTGCAAGGTAATTCTCTAATCTAACAACTGATGTTTATCTCATGCTTTTTGTAGCATGTGAAAAAAAATAAACAAATGTTTTGCCTAAGTGAGAAAGATAAATGAAGTCTAAAGTAAGATGTTTTTTGCAAATGGGCACAGATAAAAGATAAAAAGGATAAGAAAGACAATGAGTAAATTTTCAGAAAGAAAACAGGCCTTATAAATCCAATTTGGGGTTTATTTTTAAAGGGTAAGTTTCCAGCAGCAGCACAACTTTCTCCTTAATAAAATGAACTTTAATAATAAATATAACAATTTTATATGAGAATTGTATTTTTAATAATGACTGTAACAAACAATTCTCCCCACCCTTCCTTCCCCTACAGTGCGCTCCCCCTCTCCCACCTTGCCTAATGCGGGCCCTCCAGGGGTGTCTCTTTTTGGATCTTCTCCCATAGCATTATAGTTAAGATACACCCAGACACAAAGGGACTAAGTGCTTCTTGCTCAGACAGCTGAGGCAGGACTTCCAGCCGCCACGCAACCCACCATCAACAAGGAGCACTCCCCTCAGTTCCACCTCGCTCCTCTCTAAGCCAGGCTGCAGCTAAGCACACAGTCATCTGGGTGCTCTAAAAGATCCTCCCGAGGAGCCCTATCACTTGTTTTCAAAATGGCTATGAAAATGTATATGTCCACCAACCATGACTGATCATGACCTTTTACTCATCCCTGTCACCTAGAGATATGTTTTTGATATTTTAATACTTTTTACCTGTTAGAGGAGCAGAAGCCACATTTTTACTATGTTGGTTTAATTTCCCAATAACGCAGCAGAACTCTTTTGTTAGCTCTTTTGCTTCTCTCTTTTGAGAACTGCCCATCTTTACTCCTTGCCTATTTTCTTTATTCAGTGATCTTCTCTAGTAACACAGATTGCTTTTATTTTCATTAATGATTACCTGGTGTCTGGAAGACAGTTTTCTTCTTTAAGTACTTAACTCATCTTAATTTGTCACACGGCAAAAGATACAAATTCACCAGGAGCTGCGGGTGTAGCTCAGTGGTGGAGCATTTGCCCAGCTTGGACAAGACCCTGAGTTCAATCCCCAGCATCACAAAAAAAAAAAAGAAAAATAACCCCCAAATCCACATACTTTTCTTTCAGATGAATGCCAGTTAAGCCAATACCAATTTTTAAATAGAAATGGCAATCTGATTTTTCCCTAAATAGAGATGTCACACATTAAGTTCCCGCAAATGTGTGCAGGCTCTCTTTCTAGACCCTTGTCTGCTACAGAGCTTGTTTGTCTACACTGGGAGGCGCTATGCTCTGCCCAGCATCCCCACCCCACCCTGGCCAGCGCCCTAGAGGCAGTGCTCTCCCCAGTGCCCAGGGGTCTGGAAGGAGCAGGACACAGCCCCTTGGCACTCCCGTAGCTGGGGGATGGGCAGGCTCCTTGCGGCCCAGCTGCTTGGTCAACGTTCACGTTTCCTCTCTTGCTGAGGCACATTCCACCTACTTTTCTTCTGATAATTTTCTTGGCTCTTTTCAGGCATTTATTTTTTCCTCTGAACTTTAAAATTATTGTGTCCAATTGTATAAAAGAATATAGTTTTAGAAAATTTTTCAGATCGGCTTTCAAATTTACTGGTGCAGCCTTGCTTAATGACATACAATAATAGGAGCATAATATGATCACTTATACAATATGCTTGAGTAAAATCTTCTAGAAATAAGTTTATCCTAGTTTTCAGTTTTTCTTTTTTTTTACATTTATTTTTTAGTTGTATGTGGACATAATACCTTTATTTTATTTTTATGTGGTGCTGAGGATCAAACCCAGTGCCTCACACATGCTAGGTGAGTGCTGTCCCTCTGAGCCACAGCCAATTATGTATAAAAGGATACTTACAAAGATTAAAAAGAATTGTTCAGGGAAAAAATTACATTTAACTCAAATTTTCTTAAGCAGATGTGAAAAAAGTATGGTACAACAGCATCTCTCTTGAAAAAGCATATTTCAAGTTTCAAAATATTAGCAACACCAGGGGGAAAAATAACAGTCCTTCAATTTTAGATCATAGGTGTATCAAAACTAAAAAATTTTGAAACCTCCCAACACAAAAGAACTAATATAAGTTTGTCTGCTATGCTCAATATTTAATCACAAAGATGGCTGTTTCTAAGTTGCTAAGGAAACCTGTACAAGTGTTTTCTAAAATAGATGATACTAAGATGAAATCGCTGGAATGCAACGGGTAAAACTTAGACAACAAGAAAATATCAGGGAAATGCTCATGAATCAGATTCATTTAGACCACGACTGGATCACAAAAATCAGTGGAATCTGAACACTAAGTGATAATATTAAGAAACTTATTTAAAAATTGCTGATAGTATTTTTGTTGTTAAAAAAGTATTCATCTTTTAGACATATATACAAAGTATTCACAGGGGAAACTGCCAGTGTCCTGCATTTGCTTCCAAGTGACCTGTGGTGGCCAGTGACAGAACTGTCACGAAGCTGGTGATAAAGATGTGGATCCTTACTTTTACATACTCTGAGACTTTCCACAAGGGAAATCAGAAAAAAAATCCCATTTACCAGGAACTTTACAATCAATAACTTTACAACTGGTAACTGAAGGGTGCTGAAGCAGGGAGAAGTTCAACCCACAGGAATGACCTTAGGCGCGGATGTGCCAAGGGGAAGGTGACCTCAGGCGCAGATGTGCCAAGGGGAAGCCGCTTAAACCCGAGTAAAGGCAACATTGGACACTTTTACCTTCAGTTCCAGCCGTGTGGTATTTGCTTGGCAGCGGTAAGTGGCGAGAAGAAAGTTGTCATTTGACTGGAAAGAATCCAAAGTTGGGGAAAATGATGAATTCAGGCTTTTGTTTTTAATACATATTTGTAGTTATAGTTGACACACCACCTTTATTTATTTATTTATATGTGGTGCTGAGGATCGAACCCAGGGCCTCAATCGTGCTAGGCCAGTGCTCTACTGCTGAGCCACAACCCCAGCCCCATGAATTCAGCTTTTTAACCACAGAAACATCATCAATAAAAATGTTTACCATCCATAAAGAAACAGGCACTAAGGGGTTAGGGAAATTTTCCAAAACTAGTCAGGGATGAAATGAATTCAAATTTTTCTAAGACCCTAAGGCTCATGCTCCTTCTACTTTGAGCCTACAATGAAACCTGTAAACATCAAGAGTTCATTCTAAAAATCCAACAATGCAAATGTCAAACATTTACTTTAAAAAGCCATGTGGACCAATGCCTTTGATTTTCACAAATACTTGCAGTGAAAAGAGAAAAATATTGTCTCTGTGATTCCAGCAAACAACGCAGTACCTGACGTACATGTTTGCTGAATTAAACTGAAATGGTTTCTTCAAATATTGTAATTACTTGAAATTAAACAATTAAAAATAGAAAAAGATACCTAGGTGCATAAATTGCAACAACAAAACAATATGAAATATTTTACACACAATTTTCATTTACTGCTATTTTCCTATTTTTAACAAATAATATATTAATATTATATAATAATATATAATAAAGAAAACTCTTTTCATTTTAAATCATTTCAACTCAGTGAACAGAAAGGACAGATCTATTTAAAAATAAATACACCAAATATTAAAAACAAATGTCATTATGTGCTGAAGTAGTTATGGATAAAATAATGCAGATTAAAGAGATAAACTGTCTGGGACTAGGTTCAGGAGGGGGTGGGGTGGGGCACATGCTTGGATAGGTAATGAGTGTGGAGAGGAATGTTAGCTTCTCCTATTTTTATGTTTCAAGTCTCCAAATAAATTTTCTAAGAAGCTATAACCTTCTTATGGAACATGAAGGAAGATTCTAAAATATTTCCTTCAAATAGCTATGAGATTTTTTCTTTGCCCATTCTTTGATTCCTCCCTTTCAAAACATACCCACTGCTACCCTAGTGCTGCTTGGGCTGGCCTTCCCCACAACCCCTCCAGGCCTCTTCCCCTGGCCTCCCTCAGGACACAGCTGGTGGAGACTTCTCAGCCAGCACTAGGCAGCAGAAAGTGGTATCTGCAGGTCAAAGCTCTGTGACCTTTCACGGGCTCTCTGTGCGGCATGTGTTCATTGAATGACTGCTGGATGAAAAAGCGGGGCGGCCAGGAAGCTCAGGGAGAGGAAGACAGTGCCCCAGCACAGGATGTGTGCACCCACAGCAATTAAGACATCTTAAGAACTTCAATTCAACAGAAATTATGTGAATGGGGGTGGTGGCGGCTGGTGAGATGAGCTGGAGGCATAAGAGTTTCCTATACCACACTGAGGAAGGGGGAATCTAGATCCACATCCACCAAGAAACAAGGTCCTTAAAAGGTTTTGGGAAAGGGAAGGTGCAGTCAGGTTGATGCTGGAGGAAGGCTCCCGGTGGCAGCCACAGCATCTGCAGTGGGAGGCAGAGAAGAGGAGCAGGAGGCCAAGAGCTGCAGTGCCAGGGACAGGACTGACGGCCAGCAGCTGGGGACCCCTGGCCTCTGGAGCCTGGAGCTGGGGACGCGTATCTGTGGAGTGTTAGGAGCCTGCCCAGCAGCTGCAGAGGAGGCGACAACTACCACCTGGCCTTGGACCTGGTCAGAGGCAGGGAACATCAGAAAGTGCAGAAGGGCTAGCAGGTCACTTACCTCGGAGTCGCAGCTGCTGAAGCTGACAACTGCAGAGTTCTTATCCACGTCAAGCAGATCTATGGGGACATCGCTCTGTGGTGAACATGTCAAAGAATGGCTCAGAGGGAAAATATACAAACAGTACACAGAACATCTTTTCTCTGAGGGTCGCCTGTGTCCTAGATTATGTTCATCTCTAAATGTGAGAGTATAAATTCTCTTAATTCACACTTGATCACATATAGCTCTGGAAAATATTTAATGAAGAATAAATGTCATTTCACAATCACCTGTGTTTTTCTGATTTGGATTATCAGAATCACAAAATATCAACTCTTACCATCCCCTCAAATGCATGATCTTCTATTTTCATCAGTGCTAAAAATGTTACCATGGCTATAAGTAACCACAGGGGCATCTGATTACACTGGCTCATTTTTATCCATTGTAGCTTCACCTGTTACACAAGACGAAGGTAAGCTATGGTCTCCCTGAAGCAGTTGCTAAGAGAAGGGCTGGGGTCATATGACGGTGCTCCTGAGGCTGAGTGTAGCAACTCGAGAGCAGCCTGGCTGAGGAGTTTTCTGTCTGTGAGATTTATTAAGAATCGACCCCTTCCCAAATCTTCCTAAACCTTGTCTTCTTGCTCCAATTTATTATTTTCTCATCTTTTTATGGGTTTTCCATCTTATTCTTATTTTCCATTCATCCTACTAGTATATTTTTCTACTTCCTGAGTATCTTCCAACTTAAAAGTAAATAAAACTATTAAACAATTGAACAGAGCTATTATCCCTAAATCTCACCTTTGAGATTATCTGTCTTGCCTACTGACCTACCTAGAAACCACTGAGCTAATGAGTAAGCTGTACTATAAATTATCATTTTAGTACTTGGAGATTTTTAAAAGGGTATAACAAGAGCATTAAATACTAGAGTTTTCTAGGTCACATCTCTGTTGAGATTCTCCCAGAGTATAGTAAAAGAAGAAAATCCTTATTATTCTATCACTTCTTGAAACTGAAGTTCACCCATCTTTTGTTTATTAAGTTTAGGATAACTCAAAAGTAAAGATAACTTCAAATAACCTACGAGCAAACTGATTACCTCATGGAAAATTAAGAAGCCATAAACATTTAAAATTACCATTTGAAACTAAATGTGCTCAATAATAATAAGTGCATACGACTGGAGTACAAAACAGATCCAGTCATAAAACCAAGAACCCAGCCATGCTGCGGACCTGTATTAAGACGTTGTCTATTGCGGTCTGCACCTCTAGGATGAGGCTGTAGCTGGCATCATCTTTATTTAATGTGAACTTGTCATTTATGCTAAATGGAGGTGCTGCTGATTTTGCCTTGCTTGACTGAGAAGACTGCTGATAGTTCTCTCTTTCCTGTAGCACCTTATACTGCAGATGTTCCAGCTCATTCCTAGAAAAAAGGACATACAACTTTGTCATCTTTAAACATCTGAAGTCCTTAGAAATGCATGAAATTTTCGAGACATTTACTTCTGTAAAATGGGGTTTTCACTGGTTGGGCTAGAACTATACCATCGGTAGGAATAAAATTTTAGTTTCTCTGACTGACCAATTGATTCCACATCATTTATTCCTAACCCCCAAATTAAAGCATCTACTCAGTTCCATACCAGAAACATGAATAAAGAGTTGTGAGTACCCAGGTAGGTTACAACCAGTCAACTCCAGCTCAGGAGTATGGCTACAGCTACATCTAGGACTAGGCAGAAGAAAAAGGAATATGGCAGGAAAATGTTCTGGACTTAATAACAAGAAACGCCAGCCAAATGCACCTCCGGTGTGATTAGGGCAGGAAGACAAAATACAGAGCAGCTGCTGAGTATTCACATTTTGGTGACCACAGGGATGATCTTGGGCTAGTGGCCCAGCATCAGCTCTACCAAACAGTAGAGCAGGTCCCGCTGAGACTGACGGGCACGGGCACTGCCTAGGGAAAGGCCACATGCAGATGGAGTCAACAGTGATGGGCAGATCAACCTGGTTTAGGGCGAAAGGATCGTGGAGAAGTGTGGAAAGGATGTGTGCGGTGAACGGAGGAAAAGATGCATTCACCCAGGAAGTATTTACTCTGCATATCACATATTTACCTCTCTGTACCTAGTAGTGCTCCAGGTGCTGAATGAACCAAATATAAGCCTGGCACCTGGAGCTTACATCCCAGAGGAGTAGGAAAAAGCAAGATTCGACTATAAATAAAAGTACTGTGCTGAGGATGCAAGGCAGTCACTGAACCCAGCACTCCCGCTGCATGAACTTGGCATTCTGCATGAACGTGGCAGGCAGGTCAGTCTGTGTGAACATACGAGGCAGCTCTCCTGGTGGCCCTGGGGACTGGCCTGTGTTGTTGGAATTTGGGGCCTTCCTGCCTTAGAAGCTCCTGTAGCCTCTGATCTTCACCAAAATACAGATCAGGCCTCCCTCCCCTGGAGGTGGCTGAAATTCAATGACTGGCCACTTCCCACTTCCTCACTGTGGGAAGCAGCCTCCTGCAGTCTGCGGTTCCTTCTTACAGAAGCGTTGAAGTGAGCAGGCCATGAGAGCAAACCCTGTACCTACAGGAGGCAGCATTCAGTTCCAGTAAGAAAACTCATGAGCCAAAGTTATGTGCACAGCAACAGTGAACGTTGGAGATAAAGAGAAATGGAGAAAACAGCACGCTTATTTGGGTTTCTTTCTGATGTCTGTTGGGCGGTGAGGTAGGCAAAACACTGCAGCCACCATTTCTGACAGATGGGAACACGTAGTTCTCTATCCAAGAGTCAGTATGGGATCATGCACTGAAAAGGTGGAGCTCTGAATCCAAGATATTCATCAACACTCCCTGCTTATTGTCTCAAACCAATGAACTTTTCACAATGCCTTCCAATAAAATGCAGTGCATCTATCTGTAAATGGTAAGCAGCAATCAGCACTTTGAAATGAAACACACAACTCAAAAGTTACCGTAAAGAAGAAATTTTACTCTGCATCTCCTGATTGATCTTGAGCTCTTCTCCTGGTCCACTTTCCTTATGAACAGGCTCAGTAGTCAGACCTGTGACCCAGCCTGTAGAGATGAGAACAGTCACGCACCAGTCAGTGCTGCTAGGTGCTGACAGCGTGAGCCCCTAGTCCACCACCATCAACCTAACTCAGCTGTGTTCTTCCAGAACACAGCAAAACACAAAACCAAGCTGGAAAGAATCCAGACCAAAAAAAAGTATTTAAGCAATTTGTGATACTGTTTTTGCTTGAAATACTATAATACTATGCTTAAAGGTGTCTTTCTATTCTTAATAGTTCTAGTTTTCAAGTATGGAGTAAGTCAGAACATCATAGCAAATTCAAAAAAGTGACAAGTAAGCATCACTTTTCAAAAATCACTTTTAAGGAGATTTAAACTCTCATGAAATTGGTAAGAATGCAAAACTCAATGCTCAAAAGCAAACAAGTTTTTACAAGACAAGCACACAGTCCAAAGCCAACTAGATTTCTAAATAGCTCCCTTCTAACAAAGAATGCCACTTACTTTTCAAAGCTAGTAGAAACATACTAAGTGCTCTTAAAAAGGGTTAGTCAAACGTCAACACTTCATCAATCCAATGGACAAGGCCGCTCCTCCTCCTTTGCTTACTTACTGGGGATGGAGCCCAGACCCTGGCTCAGGCTGGCAAGTGCTTCCCCACTACTGCCTCCTCAGTCCACCTCCTCATTCTTTAACCAATAACCCTATATAATTCTATAGGAAGGATTTACTAATAATACTTCTCAAAAAAGTAGCCATCAAAAGAACATGCATTTAGACCTTGGTCCCTGGCTCTTCACCGTTCTTTACCTGAGTAGGTGGACACCACGATTTCATCATAACCGTCTTTCCCTACACAACCACCTTGGATGGACGTGACACTCTCAGACAATGCCTAAAATAAATTCAAGACCAAGCATTTTATTAATAAGCTGAAAACTTCAAAGGCAGTCAAAGCAAGCTGCCAAAATTCATTATCCTGTCTCCAGACATTCAACACATATTTACCGAGTGTCTATTTATTATGTGTAGATGCTGAGATTAGAAACACAAAACCTTAAACAAATCTCAAAAAAATTCCAACAGTTTTAAATTTGGAAAAGAAGATTAAAATGACTCTAGTCCCTTTAAAAGGTGATTCACACTTGGCTAACACTATAAATATCTAATGAGAAAACATAATTTATTTACATAATGAAAGGATATTTTTAAAAATAAATTACAAAAGTAAAACTACTTTAGATCACAAATTCTTTGTTTTCTCTAAAAGGAGAGTTTTTAGATGAACAAAACTATGTATCTCCCTGTACATCTTTAAGTTAGCATCTAGATTTTTCATCACAATTTTACATAGTTACAAAGATGGTACTTCTGGAAGTTTGTAAATAATATCATCTTTTAAGCAATACTTCCCAAACTTGTCAACAATAATCACCAGGTGAGTCAACCAGCACTGTAAGTCAGTACTGGTTAAAGCTATTTGGAAAGCAGCAATCATTTTTTAACTGTTATATATTCACATGTGAATACACACAACACATGTAACTTAAAAGTCTTGCAGTTATACTCTGATTTTTTAAAAAAATGCATTGCCACTGATATTACATTTTGCTAGAATAAGACTGGCTTAACATCAAGCATATTCCCATTTTTTTTTTTCCATTTTCACAGTAAGCTCTGAAGCCAGGACCTCTCTTGTTAGAAAATAGGAGGGACAGTGGGTAAGGCCTTAGTGCCAGACCTGGCAGAGCAGATAAATGCTGTCACTGCTGAGGTTTTGGACAAACATCCAAGAGGGGACCTGAGGCCTCAACAGGAGACTCTACCAGCAAGAAGGCCATTCACAGATGAGGCCCGCAGACTGGACCTCCAGAAACACAAGCTGAACTAAACCTGTTTTCCCTATAAGGAAGCCTGCCTCAGGTATTTCACACAAGAACAAAAACATGGTCTAATACGCCAGCTCACGAAAACGAAAGATTCCACTTACACCATGGAATGTACTTCAGACCATGCAAACAGAATTAGAAATCGTCACGTTACAGGAAATCAGCACAGGAAGACAAGTACCAAGTGATCGTACTTGTATGAGAGACATAAAATGTGGATCTCATACAAGTTAAGAGGACCACTTCCTAGGGGTAGGAGGTAGGAGGAGACAGAGAGGCAAAGGCTGATTGGTGCGTACAAGCTACAGTAAACAGGAGAAGGAAGTCTTGGAACCCAGGTCACACACACACACAAACACACACACACAGTTTTGGTGTGCCCCTGCACAGCAGGGTGGCAGGTGAACATTACTCAAAAAGCTAGGAGAAAGGATTTTGACTGTTTTCACCATGAAGAAACGAGAATGCTTGAGTAGAAATGTTTGATCTGACTAAATATTACACAATGTACACATTATCAAATCACTTCATGATTCCCTGTTAATATATTTAATTTCCTATTTTTAAATATCATTTCAAGTAAATCTAAAATACTTAAAACACAAATGGAAAAATATGATTCTGTTCATGCCAGAATGCTTTTCTATGTGATTCTATACCTCAGCAGCATATACAGACTTAATTACATTTAAATTTTGTAAACGAGTTACTCTTATCTAGTATTTCTTTCACAGCTGGCTCTTGAGTATCTACAAGCGAAAGTGCTACTTATTCCTCTCTGCTTAAGGATATTTCTGATACTGCCCTAATGGTGTGCAGTTTATTCCTGGATTTTAAAACAATATTCTCATTCATGAAACTCAAACATAGAAAGGCAACTGCTATATATGTGTTGCTATGTATTATAGAAATCAGGTGAACTATTTACTACTTGAGAAATTTATAAAGGTTTAAAAGTATAAAGAAACAGTAATTCAATATTCAGTTTAGAAGCAACAGTCTATTATTCAAACGAATAGTCTAGAAATTTTGATAACATCAAAATGTTTCAGACCAAACATAAGATTTTTAAAATATTTTTAGTTGTAATGAACATAATACCTTTCATTTATTTTTTTTTAATGTGGTGCTGAGGATCGAACCCAGGGCCTCATATGTGTGAGGCAAACGCTCTATCACTGAGCCACAATCCCAGCCCCAAACATAAGATTTTAATATTATTTTCCTTAATAAAATTCAGCCCTTAGTCATCTCTATAAAACCCGATAAAGAATAAACACATAGATGGAGAATCCTCTGGACCAACCTACCAGGTCAAATCGCAGAACAGGCTCCTCTGTGTTATCCAGGCTGTACACTTCCACCATTCCATCATCTCTCCCAACAAGTAAATCTTTAACCCCATCACCCATAATATCGAAGCTGTCAATACACAAAATACCTTTAAAAAAATGTGATGTTATTACAAAACTAATAGTTGAGTCACATATATACCAAATAAGAGTGAGAAACTGGCTCAGCAATTGCTCTGCCACTGAGCTACAGCCCCAGCTCTGATTTTCTGGTTTTCATACTTGTACTTGCGATAGATTTTAACATTAAGCTGGGTAAAAGGTATACAGGAACTATTTGTGTGTTTGTGTTTGTGTTTTCTGCAAATCTAAAATTACTTCAAAATAAAAAGCTTTAAAAGAAAGTAAACAAAAAAAAGAAAAAAAAAATCAATGTTCATATTTTTCACTCATGTCTCTTGCACATCCCTAGCCACATGTTATAGACTCCCAGGCTTCTGTGGAACCTACGTTAAGAAACTCAGATATGTGATGAAAAACATAGCAAGATGAGAGAAATTGATCATGCTGGGGCTTAGTCGGAGTTGCTGTTACCATCTAGATAAAAAATAAATTATGAAGAAAAAGGTAGCAAGTAAAGAATAGCAAGCACATTTTGCTTCTCTTTAGAAAAATGGCATTACATTTAGAGGCACAAATACATCTGGCTTTGCAATTGAAGATTGTATTGAACTCGTTGTTTAAAGGGTACATTCATGTATACATATGCTTACAGCCTTTCTTCCTGAAATTCCACTATCATGTCAATAAAAGAATGAAGACTGTCAAAAAGAGTGGAAGGGGATACAACATCTGATGAAAACTGACAGTGAAACTTCCCAAGATGGAACTCTGGTTGATTAGTAGAGTACAGGAAGCTGAAACTGGTGGCGTGCAAAGGGGGAAGCCACAAAGAGTGACTAACTCCAAGAAATGGAGGCATCCATACAGCTCAAGGAGGGTGAAGATGGGGCCGAAAGGAGCCATTAAAAATATGTATGAAGAGGTGTGTTTTATGTGGCTGCTGATAAATGATCAACCACCCCAAAATGCAAAAAAAAAAAAAGAGAAACTGTAAACTAACTCAAAATGGGGGAGGACAGACCAGCGCTGAACACAATCAGTAGCTTGCTCCTCTCCACCCACAAGCCTCATCCAGGGCTTTACCTACAGCCGACCTCGCAAGGGCCCCAAGTTCACATCTCCTTTCCCCATGCCCAGACCCACACGTCCAGTTCAGCCTCTTCCTGTACACATCTGCCTGACACTTCCCATGCTCCAAACACAGCTCTTTATTCTCCTTCCCACAGCTTCCTGGGTACCCTCCTGCTCCCTCCCCAGTCCTCCTCCACCCAGCACTCAGGCTGAGAATCTAGGCTATCTCTTGGATTCCTTTCTTCTTCTAACTCCCCATGTTGAATCTACCAGCAAATCCTATCTGCTCTGCCCCAAATATATGCTGACACTGTCTTCCTCTCACTTCAGCTACAGTCAGCCTGGACTAGGCTACAAGGATAACTGGTCTCCATGTTTCCACTGTAACCTGCTTCTCCAATCCATTCTCAATGCAGTGTAGTCTCTTCTGGGGACTCAATCACATCCCGCCCCCAACTGCAGTTCTCCAGCGACTCCCCACTGTGACCTCCAGGCAAGGCTCCACTGACAGCAGCCCTACCCTACCTCCCCCAGGTCATCACACCCTGTGAGTGAATGCAGCCACACTGGTCATCCTGCTACTCCACAGGTGAACTGAGTCCACCTCTCCTCCTGCAAAACTCTCTCCCCACCAAATCTCCACACCCTCCTTTTTCCTCTTCAGAGTTCAGCTCAAATTCACCCTCTTCTAAGACACTTTCTTGGACCACGCAGTCTAAAAGCAGCTCCCCTTCTGTCAGTACTCTCTTAACATACTGCTCTGTTGTGTCTTCTTCATGTGACAAGGCCAGGCCTTGTCTCTCCTGACAAGTACTTGTGAAGGGGATAAGTGTGTGAGGATCCTGTATGTGTAAGAAACCATCCCTACCTCCCAAGTCAGGCACGGAGTCCCCTGAGACAGCAGCATTCCCTTGCATTGTACCAGTCACTCTCAGGTCCCATTAACTGCCTATCGTGGACAGTTAACAAAGAATTTTACCACAGCATATTTTCCCAAAGTATTACTAGCATTTCTTATTTTTAAAAATATTATACCTACAGTGAGAGACCTGATGAATAAACAGTATGTAAACCAGAGGTGGCTCTCCTATTACATAGGGCTACTATATAATACGAATTGAAAGGTTAATAAAATAGGTACTTGTCACTGTTTTTCTATATGCTTAACAAAACACTGTTGAAATCTTGTTCCCAGGATGTGTTGTCCCCAACTGTGAACGGTTTGCTAATCTTGTTCCCAGAATGTGCTGTCCCCAACTGCCAAACTGCAGGATGCACTCCCTCACTCGGTTGCAGGCAAACTGCCCACTCGCCCTGACCCATCAATGAACTTCCCTCCCTGCCCTCTCCAAGAAAAGTATATAAGCTCTGCTCAAGCGGTTCTCAGGGCTCTATCTCTCTTTGCTATAGAGAGCTCTGGGCCCTAGCATGCTAGTCTCCAAATAAACCCTTTTGCTGTTGCATGAGGCAGTCTCTTGATGGTCTCTTCCTCCGACGTTTCGCCGGTCCCTTACAGAATAAGTAAAACAGTAAATTGCATGACCGTTTTAATTTAACAGTTACGGGTATTTCGGGATCTGAGCTACGTTGACACCATACCTCCCCGCTTTCTCTCATTTCCAACTTCCCACTTGTGCACTGGCTTGGATGTGGTGATCTGAATGAGCCCAAGCTTCCCATCTGCCGTTCCAAACAAGAGGTCTTCCCCAGAGTTGCCTAGTTATAATTAGAGGAAACATTAGTGACATTTCTTTAAAATTAAAGTGTTTTCATGTAAAAACCTCATTTAAATATCCTAAGGCAGAAAATGATTTGGGAGAATGGTTATATAGTCACAGGATTTTGTAGCTCGAGAGAGAAGTCCACCTCCTAATCCCCGTCATCTAATGTTAAGATGAAACTGAAAATTAAAGTTCAATGACTCCTTACTGTGAGTTACTGGCAAGTTATCAGAAGATAAATGTCTCAATTTTAGTTCATCTTCCTTCTACAATTCCCATTTTCACTTAATATATTTTATAAACACAGTTAATTGTGAAAAGTGAACCCTGATTACCTCCGTTTCCATTGTGCAGTGCTAAGACAGCAGGTGGGCCAGGAACTTCAATTTCATACATCACATCAGAACCCTGAGAAGAATTTATATTTAGAAACTGAAACTGAATACAAATTTAAAATAATAGAGAATAAAATTGGGCCTGGTTCCACCTGCCTATAATCATAGCTACTCAGGAGACTGAGACAGAAGGATCCCAAGTTCAAGGCAAGCCTGGGAAATTTAATAAGACCCTGTCTCAAAAATAATTTTTTTTTTTTAAAAAAGGGCTGGGGAAGTAGCTTAGAGGTAGAACACTCCTGGGTTCAACCCCCAGTACCACATAAAGAAAAACATACAAACACACACACACACACACACATCCCTACATATGTTTCATGGAAAACATCTATATTCTTGATAACATCTAAAATAAAACTGCTGAAAAAAATCAGGTCAGCAGCACCAACTTCCATTTGTTAGCAACTCTGCATGTATTAACACATTTGAAAACAAAATATATATAAAATGCAAAGACCAAGGAGAAAAATATGCAAAAATATTCTTCACTGTCACACTTTTCATTTTGAATATACTGATTGATAGAAAACTTACAATGGTAAATTTTCCTTTCAAAACTCACTAGGAACAAGTTTATTTCTTCTGCCTTTCTGGTGTTAACTGGTTTAACTTCAAGCACATTCAAACATTTGAGCAGGCCCAAAGTTATTGCCTAAGGAAAAGTGCGGCCTTTCTTTTGGTAGTCCCCAAATCACTCCAGTTAGAGGCAGAATCATCTGATATTTAGGTAAGAAAACAAGTTAGGTCCTTTTCTCATTTTTAATTTTGCCATATAAGTAAACTGGAAACAGTTTGCAAAATTATAGTAAATACAGTATAATATTTGTTAAAAACATTTAATATGTATTTAGAATATAAGATCTATATGCCTTATCTTTATCATTTTTCAATCTTTAGATATGTACACACAACTACATGAACACAAAAGGACATACACAAAACCCTGAAGAAGCCACCTCTAAGGTGATGAACTGCCCTCAAGACAGATGGGGCCTAAGGGAAGAGGGCAAGGCAGAGGAGAAGCTCCACTGCTCACTGTCCACAACGCTTGGTTGTCTGCATAATAAAGAGTATGGATTATCTTCTGGTTAAGCAAAGCAGAATCCTAGAATTCTGCCAGAGCAATCTCTGACTGAATACTCACCAGCTCCCAAAAAAAGGCTATTCAAATGACTCACATTTGGAAGTCCAAGCCAGGGGACAAATAACGCCTTGGAACCTCTAGAGTGAACCAGACATTACTTTGATTGCCTCTGATGGGGTATGGAATCACTGGATTTTTCCTTCTACAAAGGGCTGATGCCAAGAAACAGCCACCTGGCTGTGGAACTGCAAAGGTAAGATTGCCTGTGGCAGCAGGGAATTCAGAGCTCAAGCCTGGATTAACTGTACCAACTACTATCAAATACCGATCCAACGAACCTTCCAGTTACCTAGTAACTCCAAGGGTTTTCAGGAGACCACCTCCAGGAGACACAGTGGTCACTAACAGCAATGACCTGAAAGGCTGTGTCAGCCATCAAGCATCTCCCTGGAAATGTGAGGGCACCAAAGTGATTTTCCCTCTCTCTTACCTACTTATCCACAAACTTGCTTCATTCTACCTACTGTCAAAATGTTGGGTAAACTCAAATATCACCCTCTCCCTAACCTAACGTCTTCCTTTAGTTTGATTTCTGGGGGAAGAGGAGAGTGATGGGGAAAGGAAGGGGAAATGCTGCTGGAGGTTCTCTGTCGCAAAAGCTCTCTGCTACGACTGGGCCAGGTCAGAAACTGGGGCAGGGGAGAAGGTGTCCTTTTCCTTCCACATATGCCCTCTTGCAAAAGGTCTCACAATCTTGCCCAACTAAACAAATCGACTTGTCCATTACATTTAAAAAGTATTTTCATATACAACTCTATACAGGACAAAAGTAGTGACTGTTAAAATATTTATAACAATACTCATAATTGTTCATTTACTTAGATTATGAAAAGTCACAAAAATGCAAACAGCCACCTGTAGAACCCTGAGCACTCTGTCCTGGCAGGCCAAGATGGGTGTAATCTGAGGTACTCTTTCCACTGGAAGGCAGATGACATCATTGATTTTGTCTGCAGAAAGGTAATAATGTTGGTCTTTGCAGTCACAATAATGATTATAGATGTAACTTGCGCTGAGAAAGAGGTCAGAGCCAGATATGTGCCTGAGAACATTAAAATAGTAATTTTAGACCTCCATAATTTAAAAAATAAGCACAGGTAATTCTTGAATTTTTCTCAGAAATAAAAACAAAAGTTACCACAGATTTAGAGAACACAATCTTTTTTTCATTTCCTCACTTAATTTCTAGCCTTTTTGATATTACCTTTTTATTTTGTAAGATAAAAATGAAGATCTTAAAGCTTAAGGTTTTGCAATACAAACTAAGCTCAGAAAAACTGAAAACAAAAATGATAATTCCTATGTGAAGAAATACCAGAAAAGTGTTTCTAAATGTGTAGGACATTCCCTGTCAAGCACTGTCCTGGGGGTTTCCATGTAAATCGACCCTCATGGTCTGTAAATTGGGATTACTGACTACCAAGGCTCCCGGCAGGGGGGCGGGGGGGGGGGGACAGCCTGCTGACTCACAACCAGTGACAGTGGAGTGGGCTGCAAAGCAGGCAGGCACTTTGACCTCTAGAATTAAGCTTTCTAACTACCACACTAGACAGCCCAGAAAAGCCTACTCAAAGTGAATCTACTGTAAACTACATGACAAGCAGTGGAAAATGTCTCCATTAGAACTTTATTTGGAATAAAGAAATGAAAAGCAAGTTCATTTCAAATTATTTTAACAAAATTTTGGCAATAATCATAATGATGTTCTAATTCTTAGAATACATACAGTTTTCTCTTGGTGGAGCTGAAATTTCTTGATAAAAATTTATATTTTTCATATATGCTATTGGAATGCAGGTTAAACAAACTGAAAATCCTAAACCCCAAACTTTGTATTAACATAATTCTCCAAGAGTTTCAGACCTTGGAGCATTTCAAATTTATAGGTAAGGGATGCTAAACTGATAGTCTTTGCAAATATCTGAAAAATCTGAAAAGCTTTGGAATCTGGTCCCAAGTATTTGAGAAAAGGGAAACTAAACATGTATATCTTTCACTTCTAGATTATCACCATGTGACTATCCAGAAGATAATTTTATTTGGGCCTTTCATCTATTTCTCCACCCCTATGGTCCCTTTAAAAGTTTTCAATACTAAAATCGCCCTGTGATCTGCTTACCCTGTACTGCCCCTCACTTCATTATGACATGGCCTTACTGTTTGACTCTGATTATTACCATATAATGATCTGATCATTATACATCATAGACATGCAATGAAATGTCACTCTGTACCTCACAAATATGTACAATTAAAAATAAAATGTATTTCAAACTGAAATGCCCAGAGCAGGGCCACTGGAGAGACAAGGCAGAAGGATCTCACACCTGTGATCCCACCACTCCTGAGGCCAGCAGGAGGACCACATATTCAAGGTCAGCCTATGCAACTTATCAAGACCCCAACTCAAAATAACAATAAATAAAAAGGGATGGGGATACAGCTCAGCAGTAGAGTGTCCTCAAACCAATCCAAGTGGTGCAGGAAACAAAAATCCAAAAAACAACAAATGAATGTGTTTATATAATAAAGCTCTTTAACAACAACAACAACAACAAAAATATTAAACAGCAAATGTGGTTTCCAGTGGAACATCTGTAACGTAGTTAATATTATTTTCCAGAAAACTTAAGATTTGACAGTTAATCACATGATCTACGTCTACTAGAAACATTGAGAATAGATATGTACAATGAACATACATAGCTTTAATGCTCTCAGTGAGGTTCGTTTCAAAAGAGAGGAACTGTTTTCCTCTCTTGGTGAAGCCTCTAATCTCAGATCCTGCAGCAATAAAGATTTTCTCCTGAGGTGTATTAAGAACCCCTCCCAGCTCCAGTCGGGCAATCTTCTGCCCTGGTAAGGTCTTGAATACTGCCTGAAAAAATCATTCACAAATAGTAAGTATACAAGTTATTGTATTGTAAACCTCTTTCCTTTACCATAAAAAACTGCTATGATTTTGAACTTACAAAACATTATAAATTTACAGAAACTTTTGTAGAAACTATATAGAAACATTTTTAGAAAAAAAATCTATTTGTTTTAGTGGGTCTTCTGGTTTTGTGCTAGAAATCCTTAAACTCTGGCGTATTTATCCTGATACTTTTTCAATTGGAGCACTGAAATCATACGTAGTGGAATTCATTGTGACATATTTGTACATGCGTGCCACACAATCTGGTCAACTTCATTCCCTGGTACCTTCCTTTTCCCTCCTCTCACCCTCCACCTCCCTTCTATTTTCATGAGACCCACCGCTCCCCCAACCTTTTCCTAAATCCTTGAAACTCAAAGCAGTGTTCACATAGCAGAGCAGTATTTTAGCATTGCTAAATTCATTAAAAAGGCAGACTGTTAAACCCACTGGAGACCTACAGAGTGAGAATCTGCATTTTAACAGGATTCCATAGCTGGTTCCAGTACAGGATAAAGCTTGAGAAGGACTGGTTCTACAGGAAAGTCCACTTGGCAAACTCTTTACTAAGGTTCAATGGACATGGTACGAATACCATAACCATGTTTTTGAAACTAATCTCACCTGAACTTTGTACAACTTTATTTAAAAATTTGGTAAAGGACTAACTACAGAATTTACTGAAAAGAATATTTTAATACCTTAATCATATTTCTAACTAAAAACAACATTTCTGATCATTGACTTTTTCCGTGTTTTCCATTTATTATTTGCACCAGTCCCCCTCCCTGTCATGATTCATACACAGAAAATGAGATTTCTGGGAGGCTATGTGAACAATGAAGAGGGGGTGCTTCTGGGAGTTTTAACTCTCTTCATCTGTTTTTTAAATACCATGTAATATACAGTGAGTAACCGAGCTCCCATCTCAGATGGAGCATGTGTCCCCTTTGAGTATGACAATGAAACCGTGGTTGGGCTAGCTAAGGGGCAAGGTGACAGGACAGTCACTTCCACTCTCACCTGCTTTATAAGACCCCACACCTGCACACTCTAAGAGACTCTCCTGCTTACTTGAAAGGCCACTGGTTTGCAGGAGGGACTGTGAATGGACCACTTGGCAAGGACTTTGGGAACAAGCCAGACCTTCCCTTACCCCACTTTCCACTCTCTGTACTGTAGAAAATTCTTAACCTAGGAGTATTTAAAAAAAAAAAAAAGTGGTACATTTGTCTTTTTAAAAAACTTCTCCCATCTAAAAAGGCTACACTTACCACTGCTTCTCCTTTCTTCATACCAAAGCACAGGACTACTCCATCATGATCTCCAATAACCACCTGTAACAGAATGGTAAAAATCTAACATTCCTTTTACTATTAAAAGTTCATTAAATGGTTTCAGATTCTACACTGCACTAATGTTTAAGAAACCACATCCTCAAGTTTAAGTGTAGTATCAAATGGGAAGAGAATAGTCAGAATCATCTGAAAATGCTATCTAAATACCTTTCCCATTTCCAGCTATGTATCTGGACAAGCTGAGTTTTCTTCACATATTTCAATCAAACAACATATCACAACAGACTGAATATAGAAAACAGATATGAGAACTCAGCCTTTGCTTATGCCTGAGACTAAAGAATTTGCAAGAATATAACATCATATCACTAGTCTTTCTAAATTATTTTAGAAAAAATACTTTCAATAAAATGTGTTATCTATATAAACATATACATTTTTAAAATATTTTTAACATTTCTTAGACTTAATTTTAATACAGTAAGTTTTGATAGATACAACCTACATAATATTCTTTGAGATCTTCATAATTTAAACATGTAAAGGTTCAAAGACCTTATTTTTATTAAAAAGCAATAGTGTTAACTAAATACAAAGTTCAACATCAAAATAATAAATGACTTAAAAATATGATAAAGCTTAAGGAAAGAATTTTCTCTACATTTTGATATGCTTTATATTTTTTTCCATATACACAATCTGGTACACTTAGAACAAATTATTGCCAGAAAAATGGAATATAGTTTTTAACAAGTTTATTATGCTATTTACTAAATGTACAGAATAATTTTTAAAATGTCCAAGAAAATTACTATGTCTAAATATGTGCCTTGGTAGTCAAACTTCATTCAAATTAAAAGAAATTCATTTTCATTTTAACACGACTTGTTTTTAAAAGACTAACTCCCTGGTGGAAGAGGAGGTGAGGAGAGGTAAGTAAGGTGTCCACAGTACCTTCTGTGCCGCTCTATGTTTTGACGCAGGAAGTAGCTTCATAGTCTTCTGCGAGGTCACTCCCACCTAAGAAAACAGACCAGCTGCCTAGTCAATGTTTTTGTGATACTCTGTAATTTGAAGTTATTATATCAGAAGTTAAAAGGAGTAGATCAGATCATAGTGAGCCTTAATTTTCTTTTTATCTGAAATGAATGATGCCTTTTTTTTTTTTAGAGCATTATAGTTATACATGGAAGTTGGGTTCATTTCGACAAAGTCAAACATGCATGGAATGTGATGTACCCCATTTCAGTCTCTGTTCTCCCCTTTACCGTCCTCCCTCCCTTCCCCTACTCTACTGATCTTTCACTCATTTATTTTTGTTGATGCTTTCTACATTTAAAGGTGGAATTCCCCGTGGTATACTTATACATGCACAGTGTGGTTTTGTCAAATTCATTCCACATTTTCTCTCCTTTCCTGTCCCTTCTCCCTTCCTCTCCATCTCCTACTCCACTGATCTTCCCTATATTTTTTATATCCAATCCCCCTCTCCTTCCCCCCCTTATTTTCTCTAGATTCCATATATAAAACATTTGACCCTTGGTTTTCAGACTTCTTGCACATAGCATGATGTTTCCATTCCATCCATTTTCCAGCAAACGCCATAATTCCATTCTTCTTTACAGCTGAGTAAAAGTCCACTGTGGACGTACACCACATTTGTTTAATCCACTCATCTGCTGATGGGCATTTGGTTGGTTCTGTAACTTGGCTATTGTGAATTGTGCAGCTATCAACATTTATGTGGTGTAACCCTATTGTTATAGTTTAGATATGAGGTGTCCTCCAAAGGCTCATGTGTGAGATCGTGCAAGAAGGCTTACAGGTGAAATGACTGCGTTATGAGCGTCTTAACCAATCAGTGATTTAATCCTGACAGGGATTAACTGAGTGGTACCTGAAGGCAGGTATGGTGTGGCTGGAGGAGGTGGGTCGCTGGAGGGGGTCCCTTTGGGGGCATTCCTTTGGTGGGTAGAGTCCTTCTCTCTCTCTCTCTGCTTCCTGATGTGATGACCTGTGCCCTTTCCCCTGCCACTTACCTGGAGCCCCAGGGAATGGAGTCAGCCATCCATGAACTGAGAGCTCTGAAACCATGAGGCCTCAGGTAAACGTTTCCGCCTCTAACTGTTCTTGTCAGGTCTTTTAGTCACAGAGACTGATTTTAGTACTTTAGGAAAAATAACAAGCAGTGGGATAACTGGGCTGTATGGTGGTTCCATTCCTAGTTTTTCAAAAAATCTCCACACTGCTTTCTAGAGTAGTTGCACTAATTTGCAGTCAATGTGCAACCAACAATATGGTACACAAAAGGTGGCATATTATACATGCACAGTGTGATCGTGTTAAATTTGCCAGCATTTTTAACTCTTTTTTCAAATACCTTTCTTTTTTTAACATATGTTTTTAGTTTTCAATGAACCTTTATTTTACTTATTTATATGAGGTGCTGAGAATCAAACCCAGGGCCTCGCACATTAAGCAAGTGCTCTACCACTGAGCCACAACCCAGCCCCACCTTTCTTTATTTTTATGTGGTGCTGAGGATCAAACCCAGTGCCTCGCATGTGCTAGGCAAGCGCTCTGTAGCTGAGCCACAACCCCAGCCCCAGCATTTTTTATATTTGTTTTCTTGATATATGTCATTCTGACTACAGTGAGATGAAATCTTAGTATAGTTTAGATTTGCAATCTCTCTGATAGCTAGAAATGTTGAACATGTTTTCATATATTTGTTGGCCATTTGTGTTTTATTCTTTTGAGAAATGTTATGTTCTTTTGCTCATTTATTGATTGGGTTATTTGAGGTTTTGGCATTGAATTTTTTGAGTTCTTTATATATTTGGGCTTTTAATCAATCCTCTGTCAGGGGACTAGCTGGTAAAGACTTTCTTCCACTCTGTAGGCAATTTTTTTACTCTTACTCCCTGATTTTGCTATGCAAAACTCTTTTAGTTGAATGACATTCTACTTACTGACTTTTTCATTCTTGAGCTTTGGAGTCTTGTTAAAGAAGCTGGTACCTGCACCAAGAGGATGGAATGTTGAACCCTGTGTTTTCTTCCAGCAGTTGCAAAGTTTCTGATCTAATTCATAAGTCTTTGATCCACTTTGACTTTTGTGCATGATGAAAGATAGGGACCTAGTTTCCTTCTTCTATATATGTATATCCAGTTTTCCTGACAACATTCGTTAAAAAGACTCTTTTCTCCAACATATATATATATATATATATATATATATATATATAAATAAATATATTATTTTTATTTTTTTAGTTGGACATAATATGTTTATTTTATTTATTTATTTTTATGTGCTGAGGATCAAACCCAGCACCTCACACATGCTAGGCATGCGCTCTACTGCTAAGCCACAACCCCAACCCTGTCCAACATATATTTTTGACACCTCTGCCAAGTAACAGATGACTATTAAGTATGTGGGTTTGTCTCTATGTCGTTTCTTCCATTCCATTGTCTTCATGTCTATTTTAATGCCAGTACCATGCTGTTCCTCTTACTGTAACTCTGTGGTACAATTTGAGATCAGTATTGTGATTCTCCCTATATCATTCTTCTTGCTCAGTATTATTTTTGGCTATTTTGGGCCACTTTTTCTTCCAAATGAACTTCAGGACAGCTTTTTTCCTAGTCTGTGAAGAATGTCATTGGTACCTTGATGAAGACTGCACTGAATCTACACATTGCTTTTGGTAGTTGGCCATTTTGACAATATTAATTCTCTCTATCCAAGAACACAGAAGATCATTCCATCTTCTAAGGTTGTCTTCAATTTCTTTCTTTAATGTCCTATACTTTTCATTGTAGAGATCGTTCACCTCTTTGGTTATATTAATCCCCAGGTGATTTGGTTTCGTTTTTTTGTTGTTGTTATTTTCCCCAATTTCTTTCTTAGCAGAATCACCATTGGAGTATTAAAAAACCTATCGATTGATGAATGTTGGTCTTACAGTCTACTACTTTGTTAAATTCATTTACTAGCTCTAGAAGTCTGCTGGTAGGAGTTTATTGGGTCTTCAAGATATAGGATTATGTCATTAGCAAGAGATAACTGGACTACTTCTTTTCCTATTTCTATCCTTTTAATTTCTTTCTCTTGCCTAATTGGTCTAGCTAGAGTTTCAAGAACCACACTGAATGGAAGTGGTGAATGTGGACATCCATGTCTAGTTCCTGATTTTAGAGGAAATGCTTTCAGCTTTTCTCTATTTAGTATGTTGTTTCTGGCTTAGGTTTGTCATATATAGCCTTTATAGTGTTGAGGTAAGTTCCTTCTATTCCCAGTTGCTCTAGCATTTTAACATGAATGGGTGCTAAATTTTATCAAACACCTTTCCTGCCTCAATTGAGATGATCATATGATTTTTGTCCTAAATTCTATTTACATAGTGAAATTGATTTGCATATGTTGAACATCCCTGGGATGAAATCCACTTGATCAAGGTGTATATCTTCTTGATGTGTTTTTTTAACGCACTTTGCTAGTATTTTATTAAGAATTTACATTCCTGGGATTAAACCCATTTATCTTCTTGATGTGTTTTAATATGGTTTGTTAATATTTTATTAAGGATTTTTGCATCTATGTTCATCAGGGATAATAGTCTGTAGTTTTTTTTCCTTGATGTGCCTTTGTCAGGTTTTGGATCAGTTATACTGGCTTCACAGAATGTATTTGGGAATGTTTTCTCCCTTCCAGCTTTCTTTGTTAGAAGGCTTTTAATTGCTGTTTCAATTTCATTGCATGCTATTGGTATGTTTAGGTTTTCTATAACTTCCTGATTAAATCTGGTCACACATGTTTAGCAGTCTGTCAATATCTTCTAGATTTTCCAGTTTACTGGAGTATAAATTTTCAAAATAGTTTCTAATGGCTCTCTGAATTTCAGAAGTGTCTGTGGTGATATCTCCTTTTTCATCTCTAATTTTATTTGGGTTTTCTGTGTCATTCTTTTGGTTAGTGGGAGATCTAAATCTGCTAATGATGGAAGCTGGCTTTGTCTGGACTGGTCCCTGCCCTGCAGCTGCTGCCTCAGAGGCCTTGACCTGTCCTTGCCCAGACTTGTTTCTGACTATACAAAGAACAAAAACAGATTCAAGGTGTGCAGCCAGAGGCTGTAGGAATCCGAATCATGTGTGCCCAGAAATGGAAGTCCAGCCCCAGCACAGGGCCAGCCAAGAAGCTGGACACTCCAGTCCCCTCCACAGAACAGATCCCAAGCCCTGTGGCTGAAGCCCCATCTTCGGGAGAAGAACAAGTCCCTCCAGCACCTCTTCCCCCTGCCATCCACCCACTGGCAGCCTCAGTGAGCAAGCGGACCAACCTGAAGAAGCCCAACCCCCCCGCCCCCTGAACGACCAGCCTGTGGGCCAAGCGATTTTCATTGCTTTTCACTCAAGAACTTGCCCCATTGCCTCTGGGTCCATTAAGTCTCTCATGGATTATTTCTTATGTTAGAAGTTCCCAAAGTTCCGAGCCTCTGTGGTGTTCTACTGTCCAGTACTGAATTTCAGGGAATTCCCTTCACAACCCACCTTGCTGAGGTGGCCGCTTCTGTGCTGAGGACCTCCCTGGGGAGCATCCCTTCCTCTGATGCAACACCTCTCCTGATACACCTAGTATCACAATCAGCAATGAACTCCCCACACACTGGGGACTGAGCCCAAAGGAATTTTACCACTGAGCAATAACCCCAGCCCTTTTTATTTTCTGAGATAAGTTCTTATTAAATTTTCTAAGCTAGTTTTAAACTTGTGATCCGCCTGCCTCCTCCCACATAGTTGGGATTATAAGTGTTAACCATCATGCCCAGCTGATATTTTCTAATAAAACAGGTCACAAAAGTCAGAATGTAGGAAACAATCAAAAATACTAAAATTTATTCCATAAGGTAGCCAAGCCAAAAACAATTATGTGACATTTCTGTGTTACGTGAAAATGTTTTTTAGTAAGTCTTTTCTAATTTCATACAATGTTGAAGAATTTTTGTAAAATGGCTAAAAATCTTTGGAAATAGATTGTAGCTACTGAAAGATAATATAGAAAAGTTCTGCTAAATTATCAAACATGCTGGGCGTGGTGGTCCATGCCTGCAATCCTAGTAACTCAGGGGGCTGAGGCAGGAGGATCATGAGTTCTTGAGGCCAACCTCTGCAACTTGCAAGATCCTGTCCCAAAACAAAAATAAAAAGGACTGAGGCTGTAACAGCCCAGTTGTAAAGTGTCCCTAGGTTTAATTCCCAGTATCAAACATAACAATGATAAAATAAAAGACCAAACATGCTGATAATAACATCCAATCTAACTGAGGGTGAAAATTATTTCACAAAATGTAAATAATTCTACAAAAGAGAAAAATGGAAAGATGGAAAGAGCAGAACTTGCTCAGCAGGGATCTGTCAATAGAGGGATAAAGCTAGAGGAAGAGACAGGACTAACAGGAGAGAAGTTTAAAAAGCAGATCATGAAAGAATTTGCATAAATTATTCCATTGTGCACTTCAGGGAGTAGTATTAAAGTTTAAAGCAATCTATTAAGATTTGCATTTTTAAAACATCCTTCTAGCAAGTGATACAAAAGAATGGCTTAGAGGAAGGTGAACCTGGAACGTACAGATCCAGTTAAGAGCCAATTTCAATTACTTTAGCAAGGAAGATGAGAGGAGGTGATGGAGATGATGAAAAGTGGGACCAATTCAGGAAATATCTATGATAAAATCAGCAAGTGTGATAATCAGATACAGAAGATGGAGGGGGGCAGTGGCACACACCTGTGATCCCAGCAACTTAGAAGGCTGAGACAGGAGGATCCTAAGTTCAAGACCAGCCTCAGCTACTTAGTAAAGCCCTAAGCAGCTGAGTGAGACCCTATATCAAAATAAAAATATAAAAAGGGGTGGGGATGTGGCTCAGCAGTAAAGCTCCCCTGAAATCATTCCCTGGTTTTAAAAAAAGATATTAAAGTAGGAAATGCTTAGCAAAACTCCAAAGGAAACTCACTAAGCAAATATTTGGACCATTAGCTAAAACAGGATGGCTAAAAAGGAGGAGATGGGAACTTGGAAAAGACAATTCTATGATGAAAGGAATCTGGGAAGAAAGGAAACTAGAAAGTTTCCTAGAAAGTTCTAGATTACAAGGTTTCTATTCAAATAACAACATAATTTTTAGCTATTGAACAGTCTATTTATCCTGATGTCATGAGCCATCCATGGGTTGTGTGTATGAGCTATACACATTGTAGCTATATGAGGGGACAGGTCTGGCATTGTACACTGATTGGGCTGTGGGATGCAAGTGCAATTCTCCTCTCACTGGGCCTGTGATGTCACACAGCACCTGAGATGGGTGTGAATTGCAAAGATGTCAATCTGCTGACCTCAAGACATCATGAAGCAAGACTCCACCTTTGAAACCTCATCCCCTGCTTTATTTGGTAGAATATTCTATCAAGAGTCCTTTGTGTGTCATCTCTATAAAAATAAAGAAGTCTCAGGTGCATGCTCTCTTTTTCCAGCCATCCAGGGTGGAAGTTGACCCTGAAGTCACAGAGCAATCCCACCTTCGATGTGAGAAACTCATGTCCATGTGTTGAGTGATTTCTTGGCCTTTCTCTTAGTTTAATGTTGCAGCCAGCTCCTTGAACCCAGCTCATCTTGTCAGCGCGGGTCGCTGGCGAGACCCTAAATCCTCATTTATAATATCACGTACTTTGAAAAGTGTTATGAAAGTTAAGTATACATGCTAAGTTCTCAGAATAAACTAGCTGCTCACTGACAGACTATCGTTGCTGGTAGTGGACAATGGCTGCTAAGAAGTAAATGCCTGTAAAAGGCTCTGGTAGAGCTGAAAGGCAGGAGTTGGAGGTGCACAGGAAGCTTCAGCCAGGGAGAACTGCAAGGGCGAGTCCTGGGGGTGCACCTCTGGCACAGCGGGGCGCGCACCGTCGCCCCAGGCCCCGCGGGACACTGAAGCAGCCCGAGGGCCACACTGCGTGGCGCACACCGTCTCCCCAGGCCGC